GCGCAGTACCGCGGGTAGGGCAGGGAGGGGGCGCTGCGCATGCGCGGCGCTCCGAGCGGCGCGGGACGGCGTGTGTCGCGCCAGCAACGGGAGAGGCCGGGCAGCAACGGGGCCCGCGGCGTTTATTGCGTGGGGGGCCCGCGCCTCCCTTGGGCCCCCCCTCCAGGGGCGGCCGCGGCGTCGCGCCCCGCGCGGCGTGTCCCGGCGCCCGCCGTCCCTTTTCCTCAGTCTCCCGGCGCTTCCCCCCCTGGCTGCTCGGCCTCACGGCGCCGCCGCCGGGAAGCGCCTCCACGCGTGGAAGCCGTCGCAGCTGCGGTACTTCATGGTGAAGCCGTAGAGCGGCGTGGGGTCGGCGGGGCCGCGCAGGCCGAAGGCGAGCCGCTGCAGCAGGGCGCTCAGGAAGAGGAAGAGCTCCCAGCGGCCGATGGTCTCGCCCAGGCAGCGCCGCTTGCCCGCGCCGAAGATGAGCACCTTGTCGCCCTCCGCCCGCTCCACGCTGCGGCCGTCGGCGCTCAGGAAGCGCTCCGGCTTGAAGGCGCTCGGATCCTTCCAGAGCTTCCTGGGGAAGGGGGGAGACGCTGAGCGCGGCGCTTCCCGGCACGGAGCGCGGCGGGCACAGCTCCCCGCGGAGGGAAGCGCCGCCACACTTTCCCCGTTCCAAGGCTGGCCCTCTCCTGTGCTGATACCGGGGATGAGTGTAGCTCGYTGTGCAATATCTAGAGGCTAAAGGGAGGCCGGTGCCTCCTAAATAGGAAGGATTCTGACCTACCGCTTTGTCACCTTGCACCTTTCTAGCAAGATTCACCCCWTGAGCTGCTCCTCCGAAGGGACCCACGGGGAGCTTCTACCTGCATTGGATCCGAGGAAACTGGCTCCCTCCAGGAGAGCCTCTGTGGTAGCATGGGGGTTCGGCCTCCAGAGCCCCTTCCCTTCACAGGGGCCAATTATCACACATAGTGACACTGCTGAACCCCTAGTGCGTGAGACCTGGCCCCATTAGCAGTGGCCAGGCCTGCCATCCCTTCTGAGGGGACGTTTTTCCRCCTGGAAGGGGGAGCCGTGCAGCGGAGCTGCACCACATCTGCACTGTGTTTGCTCGAAGCTTTGGGCTGCAGACCAAAGCCAGTGTTGAGCCAGAGCTCCTGCCCTTTGGATGGGAATGGGATACTCACTCGTCATGGTTCACCTGCCACTGGTTGACAAACACGCAGCGGTCCTTGGGGACATGGTAGCCGTTGAGCACGGTGTCCTTGGTTGTACTGCAAGAGAGGGTGGTGCAAGGCGGTAAGCGCAGGGTTTAGGGCGGGCGAGCAGCAGGCAAGCTCCGGAGAGGCATTTCGTTCTCTGTGCCCTGTATGGGCACCCCTACCAGTGCGGGATGGTGAAGGGCAGGAAGGAGGAGTGCCGGAACATCTCCAGGATGAAGGCTTCCAAGTAGGGCAGCGAGCTTCGGTCGGAGAGCCTTGGCCTCCTCTCCTGGCCGACGGTCTGATCTGCGGGTGGCCGAGAGGAAGAGGAGGGTTGGAACCAGCCTGTGGCAGAGATTCCAGCCCTGGTGGGAATGGCGCCGCAAGCTCACCTAGCTCTTCCTGGATCTTCTTTTGGATGTCAGGGTACAAGGCAAGATATAGGAGACTCCAGGATAGAGCAGATGTAATGGTGTCGAAGCCTGCACAGACATAGAAGAAGTCACTCTAGGTTTTTGGCCAGTGACACACAGGTCATATTTGCCTTGGAGCGGTTCCCTCCATCCCTGAAAAGCTGCTAGGGAGCCTAACTTCAGCCCCAGATCCCAAGGACGACAAAAGGGGCATCGAGGTAGACTTGACTCCCTGCTCCRCCCTCTGCTATGACCCTCTTCTCAACCACTAGCTCTCCCAAGAGCTCGTGCTGGGTCTTGGAGACCTCCCTGCCTGTGAGGGTGCTGAAGGGTTTGGTAGATGACTGCTCTTCAGCCGTCACTTCACGAGCATAGCTGAGGACAGCAGGGACTGCAGCACGGGTCATGTTCTCACCTGCCCCAAAGAGGTCGTTGACAATATTCAGTATCTTCTCACTGGAAAGCGAGATGCTGCTGGTGTCTCCTGCCTGGTTCCCCTGGCAGTTCTCAATGAGTGAGTCCGTGACGTCCCGGATGTGCTCCTGGGGGATGAGGCAGCGCAGTCAGCGAGAGAACACTACGAAACACAGAGGCAGCAACAGATYGAGGAGCAAAGAGAAGCAAAGGTTGCCTGGAGCATTCTCCAGATTCTTACCCGATCGAAGCTGCTGTAATGCTCCTYGATGATTTTTTGCACAAAGGAGCTGAATCGCCTGTTGATGTCCTTAAATAAATCCATGGCGCGGTTGGGAAGATACTGCAGCACGGGGATGAAGTCAGCAGGGTTGCCAGCAGCAGCCACGTCTCCAAATTCGTTGTTGAGGCTTATCAGGCTGAGCAGCTCTTGGTCATTGTGGTCGTAACGCCGGCCAAAGCATATGGCAGAGATGACATTAGCCACGGAGACCACAAGGTACCGGTAGGGGTCGAAGCTCTTCTGCTCTTCCATCAGCTGCAGGAACTTGGTGACCAGCTGGTCGGCCTCCTTGGAGACGTGCTCCTCCAGGAGGCAGGTGGAGGAAGAGGTCGAGCTGGGGGTGATGGAGAAGGTCTTCAGGGCATTCTGGGCCAGCTTCCTGCGGGCTTTCCACACCTCCCCAACCTCAGGGCTGAAGGCCAAGCTCTGGCCATCGGCGACAAAACGGAAGCTGTGGAGGTCGGGGCGCCCCATGAAGTCCTCTCCTTGCTTCACCAGGGCTTGCTTGATGGTGTCGAGCCCGCTGAGCACCAGCACGGGCCACGTGCCGATCCTGATCTCCATCACGTCTCCGTAGCGCTGGCTCAGCCTGGTCAGCACCAAGTGCGGGTCCTTCCTCAGCTCCAGCACGTTGCCGAGGATGGGGAGGCCTCTCGGTCCCGGGGGGCTCTTCAGCCCCTTGGGCACATGTTGCTTAAAGGACTGGATGAGCAGGAAGACCAGGCAGAAGACAACAGCCGCAATGAGGATCTCGGTGGCCGAGAGAAGGCCTTGGCTTCCCACCAGCCACATGGCAGCGCTGTTTTTTTGCTGCTGATGTTTAGAAACCTTCATATTAAAAAAAAAAAAAGACATTTTGGAGGGGAATGTCCAGGAGGCACCTGCAGTTTTGAGGTACGTATTTCGTAGTGAAAGCATAGCACTGTAAACCAGGTGTGACTTCTGATGCAAACACCCTAACTGGGGAAGAGCTGCTTGGGAAGAGCCTTTTTTTCCTGCACAGCCTCTGCGTGCATCAGCCCTGGGAAGGTCTCCCCACATCATAGGCAGGAGATACCCATGTCTCTGCCAGAGCAGCTATGCGTTTGTAATCACCAAAAACCCCAGAGAGGGTGAAGGGATATTCTCCTGTCCCCCCTGCTGGTCATCCCGTTGGAGTTAAGCCTCTTCCCAAGTGCACCAGCGCAGCTTGCGCTTGCAGAGCAAGTACTTCTCACTAGACAAATCTTATTTCTAAGACCTCCTCCCTTGCAGTTAGAAGCAGGGCTCTTAACTAGCAGGCAGGGAAAGAAATGGTTAAGRTGGCTTGTTTTCTGCATGCCGGAGTAAGAAACCTGCTCCTTTAAGTACTTTTAAAGAAATACTCTTTCCCTACTATTTTCAAGAACATTTGCCTGTAAAAGAAACAAATTGTCCCAGTTTGAGTCCTCTAGCTGCTCACCCTGAGCCATCGCTCACTAGCAAACTAAACAGAGCAAGTGGGGGGTGTTTAGATTATCTCAGTTATACTAAAGATCCCTGATCAAGAAGGGTAGCTGGTGCTCCAGGGGCTCCATGGTCTAGAACGTCCCACCACAGAGTCCCAAAAGGGCTGGAAAAAGCAGAGAGCTCCTTCCCGATGGATGTCCCAGGGACGGCAGGCTCAGCTCAGGGACCCCGCTCTGAGCCCGTGGCTGCAGAGCAAAGCACAGGGTCTAGGGCCGCTCAGCGCTGGCATCCAGCGACCCCCGGCTCTTCCAGAAACTGAAGGAGCAGATGCCCAAGGGGGGCACCCACCGGGTTTGCAGCCCCTGGGGATGCCCCAGGGCAGCCGTCGGGGAAGGGGCTGCCCACCCTGCGGGCGGAGGGCTCTGTGCCGGGGCGGGCACAGAGGGCCGGGACTCACCTCGGGGTTACGGAGCCTCTGTCCCCGCAGGCAGCCGCAGGGGCCCGATCCTACCGCAGGTGCCTGCCAGCCCTCGGCGCCTGCTTTATATGCATCGCCGCTCGCCCTGATTGGCCCAGCGGCCTCCCGTCACGTGCCCCAAGCCTAATCAAAGCCGAATTCCCAAAGAATTAACCCGGATCCCCCCTCCCCAGCGGCTTCGGGGCGGCGCGGGGGACGGCGGCTGTGCCACGGAGCGGGGATGGAGCGGGGGGGGGGGCCCGTCCCCTCGGGGCCGTCGGAGGGGCGTCGGCGCGGGGGACCCTCTGCGCAGGGGCCGGAGCAGCCCCGGGGAGGGGGCGCCCTCCTCGCGCGGGGGTCCCCGCTGCCGCCCTGACGGCGGCCGCCGCGGCCCCGACGGCGCGAACGGGCGGCCCGGGAGGGAGGGAGTGCGGGGGGCGTCGAGTTAAAGACCGGGGCGTTTCGCGTGAGAAGCCGCTCGGCGGCGGCGGCTCCCCGCGTGCAAAGAGCGGGGCGGGACGCGGCCCCCGGCAGAGGGGCGGGGGGGGGCACGGGGTGCCCGCGCGGGGCGGCCCGAGGGGCATCGCGTGCGAAGCGGCCGGGGTGTTTGGGCAACCCGCGCCGCCCCGCTCGCTCGCAGTCACGCTACCGGCAGCCTCTTAAAGGCGCCCGGTCCCGCCGGCCGCCTCCCGCCGCCCCCGGGCAGAGCGCCGTGTCCCCTGCGCGCCCCTGCTGTCCCTGGCGCGCCCCGTCCCCGTGTCGCTCGTCCCCGTGCGCCTCGTCCTGTTGCGAGTGAGGAGACGCTGGAGCTGGTCACGACTTTCCCAGGGGAGCGTCCCGACGAGGACTGCAGGGACCGGGAGCACCTCAGGGCGCCGGGCGCGTCCCCGAGGTCCCTTTGGGAGCAGCGAGAGCAGCCGCTCTGCCCTCGTGTGGCACCGGCCACAGCCCTGGCTGCAGGTGACGGGGCTGAGCTCGCTCCCCTCCCGCTCCGAGCTGCCACACGACCCGGGGAAGGGCTTGGTCGGCTCCATTCGTCCCCTCGAGCGGCTGGAGAGCTCAGCCCGACGCCTGAACGCGGCTCGGAGGCTTCGACGGCGCGTGCAGGGACAGCGGGGAGTGCAGTCGGAGCGTGCCTGGCCCCAGGCAGCTCGCGGTGGGGACAGCGGGCTGCTGTCACCTCCATCAGCTGCCGCATGGTCTTGCTGGCGGGTTTTGGAGCGCAGAGCCGCGGGGCCACCGTGTCCCCTTGCCCCGGCTCCGTTAACCATGGACCCGGCTGGCTCGACGAGCGTGTCCCCGCGGGGACAAAGCGGAGCTGGGGAAGAGCCGGGACGTCTGGGGAAGAGCCGGGTGAGGCCGAAGCATGTCACGGGGGTCCCCTGCCGCAGTCCCCCGGGAGGACAGGCTGTGATGTGGGGCCGGGAGCTGGAGGGACCCGCCARAACGGGACGTGCGGCCACCCAAATTTTGTCCCCAAGGCGCCGGGCTGGTGCCGGGGCCGAAGCGGAGGGGCCGAGGGGCGGGGGTCCCCACCGCCCCGGGACTGGTGACTGCGGAGCCATCGCGTGAGAAGGGCCGGGACGCCCAAGCTCTCCGGGCTGACCCGGGCCGCCCCGGTCACCCGCAGTCACGCTATGGGTGGGGGGGAAATGACTTTTAAAGGGACAAGGGCGGCGGTCGCCGGGGAGCAGCCCGCGCCGGGGGCAGCGCGGCGCCGGTCACCGGCAGCCCCCGCGCTCCCGACGGGCTGGGGGGGGCCGAGGCGTCCCAGCGCTGAAGTCCCCTTTGGAGTGGGAACACACACACACACACACACCAGACCATGACCCTGCTGCTCCGGCTGCCCCAGAGCTGGATCCTCTCTCAGTGGCGACACTGAGTCCAGCTCGTGTGCATCCCTGCGTGTGTGTTGCCCTAGCAGCACCTGGCACTCGGTCCCCTTCCCCAGGGACACCCAGCCACCTAGTCCCCATCAGTGCTCCCTTCTGTTGGCCCCGGGTGCACTTTGACACGCACATGCCCTCCCACGTGTGCAAACGTGGCGCGCGCTCCCTGTGCACACGCAGAGTGCGTGCGCGTTCCCATGTGTATCTCCGCATACGCTCGCACACGGGTGCGCTCGCCCTCGCACGCTCGCGCGGCCACAGGACTCGAGACACTGGCACAGAGCCACGCGCTCGCCTCCTTGCCCAGCGGCGTGCAAGCGCGCGGCGAGGGCGAGCTGCCGTGCCCGGTGCCGGCACAGCGAGAGGCGGCGGCCGGGCTGGCGCGGATGCATTGGGGGTGTGAAGCAGGGCTGGCACGCAAGGCAGCAGCGCCGAGAGCTGTGCTCAGCGGGCACCCGCGCCRGGAGGCACCCTGCCCTCCCCGGGCGGGCAGCGGCTCCCGCTGGCACCTGGCAGCACGCGCTGGAAGGAGCACCCTGGGATGGGCACCAGGACCCTCTGGAGCCCCAAGTCGCAGAGCTGCATTGGGCTGGTGTATCTGCCCAGGGCACGAGCTTGGCAATTGCCACAAGGAGCACGAGCCGCCTGCTTTTAGCAACTGCTCGTGCCAAGTGCTAATGYGCACAGGCGCTGCTATCAAGCATCCTGATTAGAGGAGATGTCAAAAATGTTTACAAAATATTAGCTCAACTTTGACTTGGGCAAAACTCCCGCTTCGCTCCCCGCTGCTTCCAAAGAGACAAAAATGCACAAAAYGTGCGGCCAGTGCTCGGGCTTTGTCTCGTCCGTCGTGCCTCGGAAGGGGACACTGCAGGGGTGACCTCCCCCAGCCTTGCTCCGTGCTGCCCCTTTCACCTCTGCTATCTCGCGGGCTGCCCTCTGCCCCGCCGGCCGCCCCTGCTGGCGCTCGCTGCCCGTTTGCCCCTGCACCAGCTGCCTTCTCACGCAAGCCTGGGCAATCGTTAACCCGGCCGCCTCTGTGCCCGGCCCGGTGCCACCAGCTGCTGCCACCTGCCTGGCCCCACGCCCGTGGGGCAGCCCTGCTGCCATCGCTGCCGCCGGACACGTGCCCTCCCACCGCGCTTGGAAACAGCCCAAGGAGCGAGGCAGGGATGAGCAAGGAAGGGAGAGGAAGCCAAGGAGAGARCATCGCCCCACTCTGGATCAACGCGCAGGGCTCCTGGCAGAACAAGGAGATGTAGGCAAGCGGACCAGGGTTGGCCATTTCCCTGCCCTTCGTACCTGCAAAGTTCATTTAGCTTTGCGTTGGCTTTGGAGGCAGAAAGCCCAGAGAAGCCTCTTTAACCAAGGTCCCTGGAGAGTGGGACYTCACACCACATTTCCTGGTAGCCACAACCTCATTTTAAGCAGCCAGGTCCAAAACCCAGGTCCAAACATTGCGCAGCTGGAGGAAAGACCTTGGGCAAGGTGGAAAACTGAGGCAGCGGGACTCCTGCCCAGCACAGTCCTAGTGGACAAGGCAGGAGGTGCCCAGGGAGCTGCCGTCCTTCTTCCCCTCCACTGCCCCTCTCTGCTTTCCTTGAACTTTCCTCCCCACGCAGCCCTCCCTGTTCCCAGGTCCTCCTGATCTGGCCTCAAGGGCTGGCGAGTGGTGAAATTCAGCAGGCAGCTTCTCACGCAAACCGGGGCAATCGTTAACCTGCTGGCAGGTGCCCGGGGAGGGGACACAGAGGTGCTGGGGAAGAGGGCTGAGGTGCAGGACCTGCAGACCCCCCTCCCATTCCTCTGCCTCCTCTTGGCCCCCGGTTTCCATCTGAGCAACTTTGTCTGCACCTCCAAGTCCCCCCCGCATGAGGCTGGACGTAGCAGCCCTGTCTGTGGGCTGTTTCACTCCAAAAAAGGGTCTTTTCACCCCAGGAAAGGTCTTTGGGGAGATTCCTACAGAAAGGCTAGAACCACACAAGGTGGGAACATGTTCCTGTCCTCCCCGGGACAGCACCATGACCGCCCCTT